TCTGAGTTAAGAGTGAAATGAAAATACTTAATCTTATAATCAGATATAGTGAAAGAAGTATATAATATTCTTATTATATAGAAATAAATAAGTCAATTGTAATAGAAAATACTGCAATTGAGTATATCTTAATAGAGAATAGATAATCAGACTTCTATTATCACGCTTCCAGCCGCGTCAAGACTCCGTTGCAGTTTCACACGGTTCATCACTTTTATGTGAATGATTTCATCTCATCTGAACTAGTTTGTAATCACTCTATAATATCATTCAGATATATTATAGAAAGATCTGATTAATAAATATGAGAACTCTGCTTTTATACAAGATCAGCAGATTACTCTTTCTTGATAATGAGACACTGCTGAGATATTACTTCAGCTATTCTCACTCATGAAATGAGAGAAGAGTATTCACTCATTATCTATATAGAATAGCTAGATACTGACTCTTCATCAAAGAAGTCAGTAATTTGTTTTTCTTCTACTAAAATAGATACAAGAGTTACTGTGTGTTTTATACAATCTTCTTAGTATGCTAAGTATCATATCAGTGATATTCTTGTAATAACTCTGTAGTCTACAAGCTTACTATTTAAGTAAGATAGTCAAGCTCACTTATATAACTTCTTAAATAACTATCTCTATATAATATTACTAACTAGTTACTGCTTCAGTTTTATTACATTATAATTCAAATCACTTGATCTGATTACATGTTTAAATCAGTCAAGCTCTAACAGACTGATATAATCTTATACACTCACACTGAAATCAATCTGATCTCACTCTCTGAAGAAAACACTATATCATTTTCTAAAGTGTATACATCTCTACTCTGACAGAAATTCAAGATTTCTGAACTCACTGTATATTTTGATATAAGCTCTTCAACTGCTTTATTACTGCTGCAGTCTCTACACATCTATATCTATCATAAAGATAGAGAGATTAAGATTGAAGATTTTCTAAGATATAAGAGAAATATCTTATCTGAATTTCACAGCTTTATCTGTATTCTTGAATGAAAATTTCACCTTAATCTGAGTCAGTATAATACTTATAAGATATAAGTAATATACACTGTCAATCTTCTTGAAGATATCTCTGCAACTACTTGAGTTATCAAGAAGAGAGAGCTTGAGTATATTAATACTATTATAACTTAAGAAGAATTCAAGAACTTTCTACTGAATTAAATTAAAGATCACTGTAATTATAACTTCACAGCAGTACAGTGATTTAACTTATTATATTAATAAAATAATAAGAATTCTTTCAATTTCAATACAAGATTTGAAGAATATTAAGAGAAATTAACTGATGATTTGAATTAATTAAAAACACAGCTTTATCTTATAAAGCTGACTTATAAGATGCAGATAATGATATCACAATATCAGAGTTTATTAATTAATCACACTGAGCTTGTTAATCTGACTTCTTAGATCTATTTAAATAATTAATTCTCTGAGAAAAAGATTAATAAGATCTCTTCTAAGTAATTAATAATAGAATCTAAACAGCATTATGATGACTTCAGTATGAAGAAAGTAAAGAAGAATTTCAAGTATTCTAATTCTTCACTCACTGTAAAGAAATATTAAAAAAGATTTGATAAAGATCTCTATTTCAACTGTGAAGCTGATAATTACTATATCAGTGATTATAAGAAGCTGAAGAAGAAAAGAAATTAAGAAAATATCTTTTCAAAGTTAACTTCTCTTCTGACAAATATATCTACAGATAGACTGGCCGCCGGGACCATGAATTTCACATTTGGTCCCATTTGGTCTGGTCTCATACATTTCTTGGCGTGAGTCCCACCAGGACCAAGCCTCAAAAAAATCTGAAAATGGACCATTTCTGAGAGAAATGGTGTGAAAAATGACCAGATTTAATTCAAGAACAGTGAAATGGGAGTAATTTTCCAGGATAAACTGTGAAAGATGATCATTCTTTCAAAATCAGAATGAGACTGGGACTGAAGGTCAAAATCAGTCTCATTCAGTTCATTCAGTGATTGCTTATATAATCAGAATTTGGTAATGATTATTGATAATGCTCATGAAACAACTAAATACATTCTTGTGCAAGTTTATTCTTCACTTTCTCATGAAAACTACACTTCTCTGATATACTGTGATCAGAGGTATTAAACTGTCTGATAATTCCATGTTTTACAATCATGAGTTTCTTGATTGTTTCTTCTTGTAATTGTCCCCAGCAATAGTGACAAATATCTCAACTTGAGTTGAACTTTCACTTCATTCTCACCTCTGCCAATGGAATTGTCAGAATATCACATGTCATCAGTGCAACAGTTGAATATGTACTCTCAATAATTTTTCATAACTCTAGAATTGATTTGGCGTGTAAATTTGTCGGATCATCTTGAAGATAGCAGTCAAATTCAGTTTTACAAGCATGTAGTTTTGCCTGATTTTCGGTTGCAATCAATGTATGCAAGTCCTGTTTCAAAGTTAGTATTATAGTTCTATGTGATATGGAGTGTTATCAAAGATTGTTACTTACTAGGGAATTGTATTTCACTGTCTTCACATCTCAAACATCTGCTCATTCAAATCTCTGATAGTTGGCATTGTAGTAGTCTCAGGCTAATTTGACATATGAGTCTCATTTCTTCTCTGTTCAATCTTGAGAAGTGTAGATGTTAACTTGACAGAAGGGATCTAGTAGAGCTGCTACAGCATAGTACTCTGCAAAAGATTGTTCTGTTTTGCTGTAGTAATATGCCAGTTTATTCCTTACAGCAACAATAGCCTGTGCTATAGCATCATCTCAGACTGAATTTCTTTTTGAGTGATTCAACTGCTTCTCAAGATGAGTAAATAAACTGTTATACACTCACCAGGCTGACTGCAGCATTGGTGTATGAGTGATTAAGACTGTCTTTATTATCTTATAAAACTGAAACAGTAAATCAATCACATATTTCAACTGAGTTCACTTCATATCAGAAAGTTTCAATATCTGGATCTTTTTCTGATCAGAGTGTTACACTCAATGATCAATCATCTGATACAATTGAAGAGCCTGAACAGTCATCTCATATGTTGAACTTCACTGTGTTCTAACATTCTGTATCATATTCAGTGGTGTGACTGATTTGTTTGTTTGTTGAATATCATGGAATTGTTGTTGTTGTTTAGAAGAGGTACAAATTGCATTAGCAATGTTTTAAATCTATGATATTTAAATTATTAGTCAATCTATTCAAAATTAACAGTAGTGTTATCAAAAAGTGTTATCAAAAAGCAATATCAAAAAGTGTTATCAAAAAACATTATCTTTTACAAAGTGAATGCAAAAGTTACTTGAGTAATTACTTTCATCTCATTCTCATCCCAAGAACCAGCCATCTCATTATTCTTCACCTTGATGTTAAGATTCTTTACCAGTGTTTACATCACAAGTTGAACCACATGAGCAATGCAGGGGATATGACCTTGTTTATCATTTCATGAATGCAAAGCCAATTTTTGCTCCAAGCTCTTCATCATAGTGTAGTTATTCGCAGCATTGTCAGTTGTAATTGTAAGAAGACTGGGACTAATATCTCAATAGTCATTTTTAATCACAGTCATTAATACCTCTGTCATATAATTCCCAGTATGACTACTGATCAATGATTTAAATTCAATTAATGTCTCTTGATAAGTTCAGTTCTCATCAATGTAATAACATGTAACTCTCATAAATGCAAGATTGTTTGTACTAGTTCATGCATTCACTGTGAGAGACACTCTTCAATGATTCTTCAACTCTGATTCTAGATGTTGCATATTGACTTTGTAGTGTGTCTTGAGGTTGAACTGAAGACAGAATCAATGTGAAATATGAAGATTTGAATTAAGCATTTGAAGAAGTGTTCAGAATTCAGGGTTTTCAATTGATCAAAGAGAAAGATTCAGAGATATACACATGCGAAGTAATTGTTCACAGAAGTTATCAGATGAGAGTTGTGAAATCAGAGTACTGATATAAGGTCATTTTCACATGATTTTCTTCAAATTAGAAAGTTAGTGTTATCAAAAATTGTTATCTGGTAGAGCAACTTACCAGCCCAGTAGTAATTTTCTGATTATTTTTCTTTTATTGTCTGCATTCTGATGACTTCAGATGTCAGAAAATTTCTTCAGAGTCATGACCAGTTCATGATGAATGTTTCTGAATGAAGTTGCAGTGATTGTAGCAGAGAGATGACTCTTCAGTAATCTGCAATGCAATCTGTTGATAATTATTCCATAGTTCATCTCAATGTTTGTGTTGAGTTTTTCATAAATTTTGTGACCTGGAATCAGATGTGAAGAATGAAGTGATCATTTATCATGATTGAAAGAGAGCATTCTGTGTTGAATTGTAAACAACATAGACTTTGTGATTCACAGTGATTTCTTGAAGAGTTTGTGAATCTTCAATAGAAGTAAAAGAAGTGAAAGAAGTGAATTCAGAAGACATGATAATAATTTAAGAAAGATGATAATTTATTTTCAATAACTGATCACTGATGTGTGTAAGAAGAATTAATATAAGAGAAAATAATCTTGTTTCTTAGCTTAGTTATAATTTTAGTACTAACTCAGATTGAATATCATCAATGTATAAAAGTAAACAAATAATCTTGATTAATCTCTGTCATATTTCTTGAAATATATTAATATTGTGAAAGAGAGCATTACTAAATTGCATTATCAGATGATATCATTAAAAATATATTAATATTGTGAATATCAATGTTGAAAAAATGTTGATACTTATACATTATAGTGATTTGTGAATCATGATAGTTAAATATATATATATATATATATATTGTTCCTGACTTGATTACAACTTGTACAATAATTTTTAAAAACTCAAAATTAATTTCAATTATTAATAATTATGAACTTACAACTAACTAATATAAAAAGAAAAAAACTTTTTCTACTCATCATCTTTCTTCTCTTTCTCATTCTTCTTATCATTCTTCATAATTCACTTCTCATTCTTCTTCTCCTTCTTCTTCTCCTCATCTGAGATGATAATCATCTCAAAATCTCTCTTCACTGCCTTCTCAGAGGAGGGTTCCTGCTGCTCTTCCTCAGCCAGGTCAACCTGCATCTCAAAATCCCGCATTTCCTGGTCTACTGCCTCGGGTTCCACCCCAGCAGCAAGCAGATTGGCATGCTCAGAGAGCAGGGCTGCCTTCTCAATGTCCTGAATCATGGAGTGCATTTGAGACCTGAACAAGGCCTCAATTCCCTCCTTCTCTGCCAGCTCCTGCTAATCAATTAGAGAACAGAAGCATTATCAAAAATTGTTATCTCTCAATAAATAAAAAACTTATCAGTTTTGACTTCTTTGTCTCTCACTTCAATATTCTCTCAATCTTCTTCTGCTGCTGCTTATTTGCAGCAACACTCTTCTTCTCTCTCTCTCTCTTCACCTTGGCTTCAAATCATTCTCAGGACTTCTTCTGATCTCACTGCTGCTGCATGAGGCTCTTCACTGTCTTCTTCTTCAATCTCTCACAGACAGTGTCATTCACATTATTCCTATACTTAGTTCAGTCTAAATCTATCAGAAGTATTACTTAAAATCATTATCATTCTACTCTCTTGCAGAGTCTCTTCAAGGCATCATAATGTGTCTTGTGATCTGTCTCTCCTTGCTTGAACATCTTCTTCTTCTCTCTCTTCAATCTGTGACAGCGCTCACACGCCTTGGTGGTCTGCAGGACCGCAGAATATTTGAAGAGAGATAACATGATTGGTTTCAGTGAGTATTGAAGAGAGATGAAGGCAGGAGAGGCAGCCAGAAATGATATGATGATGATGATAATGATGATGATGATGATGGTGATGATGATGATAGTAATGATAATAATGATAGTGATGATGATGATGATGATGATGATGATGATGATGATGATAATGATGATGATAATGAAAGAAGAAGTGCATTGAAATATATTACTGACTTATCAAATATAAAGAGACTCAAAGAAAATATTAACAGCTTTCAGCAATGTACAGAAACAGCTACAGTGTTGTATAGCAATATCATCTTCATTCAATGCATGCACTGTTGATATTCTTTGTATACAGTTATCATATAATCTGTATCAGAGATACATGCAGAAAACAGATCTTTGTTACTAGAATAAATAATTACAGCAATTCTCTGTTTTCATATCATAAAGATAAGTTATTCTCATTTCTTTCTTCTCTCTTTTCTCTTCTTCAATCAATCACTAATTCCAAGCTGGTATAAAAACTATTAAAACACTCTCAGAAACTCTCAAATTGAAGAGTATAGACTAATCAAATTTCAAATGCAGAAGAAACCAAATTATCTTCTACAGATTCAATTACTCATCCCCTCTCAAATAAAACAGCAGTCGCGTCCCCTCCCCCCCCCTCAATCAAACAAAACATGGCCTGTGAAAAGCGAGTACCACGCCAGGCCATAATGGCCAACACGGCCTCAGCACGCAGGGCTGCATATGCACAGCATGTGCTGAACTGAGAGACTGCATGGGTTGCAAACTGGCAGCAGCATCCCAGGGAGAGCCATGCAGCGTGAGAAAGTCGCAACTCTCAGCCATGTGTGCAGAGGGTGAATTGCTGCAGTAAGTGCATGTGTATTGAAGTAACACTTTTTAGTAATACTCAGTCTCTGATATGATGAAAATAGAGTCTCTTCATGAGATCTGTTTCTACCAGAAGTCTGAGAATCTTATATTCCTCAAGACCACCTTCACACGCCTTGTCCATGAAATCAATGAGAGAAATCATCAATTTCAGCATTCTGTTCTTGATGTTATTCAAGTGACAGCAGAGTTCACTCTGATCACACTTTTTAAGTGTATGTTTTCTAATTATTCACATTTATATAGATATATACTGATTATTTGTTAGATAATGTTAAGACAATGACTCATCATGACTGTGTTACTCTCACTGTGAGAGATACACAGTTGATAATGAACATTACAAAGACTCTGAGAAGTGAGTATTTTAAGAGTACTGCAGCTCTGTGATCTTGATTTTTTTTTGTTTTTATTTTTTATTTTTTTCTTTTCCTTTTCTTTTTTTTTTTTTATTTTTCTTTCTCTTTCTGTCTCTTTTTTTCTTTCTCTTCTTTTTTTCTTTCTCTTTTTTTTTTTTTTTTTTTTTTTTTTTATTGTGATTTTTTCTTGTTATTTTGTTGTTTGTTTTTTTTATTATTTTTTATATTGTACATTTTTTTTTTAATTAAAATGATATTGATTATGATCTGTGTTCAGAAAAGTAACAATATTTAGTAATACTCTCTGTTGAATTTTCAACAAATAAGCACTATGTTATGATATTATGTAAGTGAGAAATGATTTCATGGTCTCATTTGATGTCATTTTCAATAATGAGATCAGAATGAAAATGTGACTAAGAATTCAAACATATTCTTTATCTGAGACTAGATTTTTATTTGAAAAGTGAATCTGAGACCTTTAATATTTGAAATAACAGGATTTGGGATCAATGTGATGAACACAAACCATGACCAGGAGTAATGCTTTTAGGCAACATGACAACTGTAAAGTTTGGTCCTGGTCCCAGACACGGTCACACGGTCAGTCTAGTAACTCTTGTATATATTTCAGTCAGAGTAAAATAAATCACTGACTTCTTTTATAAGAAGCCAGCATCTAGCTATTCTATATAGACAATGAGTGAATATCTTCTTCTATTTCATGAGTGAGAATAGCTGAAGTGATACCTCAGCAGCATCTCACTATCAAGGAAAAGTAGTCTGCTGATCTCATATAGAAGCAGGGTTTTCATATTCATCAATTGAATCTTTCTATGATATATTCAAATGATGTCATAGAGTGATTGAAAACCAGTTCAGACAGTCTGTGAAATGAATGAAATTATCTGTATGAAAGCAATGAGCTGTGTGAAACTGCAGCAGAGTCTTGACACAGCTAAGAGTATAACAATGCTCTTCTCTTTAAGAGTATAGTCTCTATACTCTCAAGATTACTGAATTAGAAAGTATCTTTGTTGTATAGCAACAGTTGTTAACTAATTGACAGCATATATACTGCATGTGATATAAAGAAATAGATGAGTTTTTCTGCTGACTGTGTAAATCTTTCTTTTCTCATCTTCATTTAAATTAAACATGTGATAAGTGAGTTTCTTATATATCAATTTGAAATGTGAAAAATATAGTTAACAAGAGACTTACAGATCTCTTAATATATTTCATTCTATATATGAAATTTCCTACAAAGTGATGTGTTTTTAGAGACAAAGTTAACAGTAGTAGCAGGATTTTTTAAAAAGATTCTTTCTCTCTGTAAAACATTTTTCTTTTCTCCCTCTCAATTGCAACAGTGAGTGCATGAGAGTATTATTCTTGAAGGACAATAGAGGACTTATTCTGACATTTTCTAGTGAGTAAATGTCTTCATGGTGTGGCAGTGGCCTTCATGACTATCAAGAAAGCCAGGTTGGAGATGGCAGTGTCAATGAGCCGCGGGAGCACTGCTCTCATTGTCACATCTTCTTCTTCTCCTGCTTCTTTTGCAGCCGCGGTGGTAGTCACTGTGCCTTGCAGTGAGGTGTCATCTCTTCTGCTGATCAGTTCATCTGTGTTCAGTCTGTTCTTCACCCCTCTCATCACTGTTGCAACACCACCCTCTCTCTCAGTCAATACAGTGATGTATGACCTCATGTAGTCATTCAGAGAGGAACTCAGAAAGAGCTTGATTTCAGAGACAGTGACTCTGAGAAGCTCAATTCATAGTTTCTCTCTCATGATATGCCTGAGCCCTGCTCAGAATGCTACTGAGTTGAGTCTGCAGAGTTCTGTAGTTTCTTCATCTTCTCTCTGTGAGAAGGCTCTGATGTAGTCTCTAACTGATATCACTACTTGTCTGCACTGCATCAAGCAGCTGAAGAAGAGAGAGATTTTATACATTCATTTCTTCTCTCACTTCTGTTATTTTCATTGTATCTGTAATAATAACTTCTGTCTCTCTGTAAGTATTATCTCACAGAAAGACATTGTGTCAGTTTTAATAAGAAGTCTAAATACTCAAGCAGTACAGAGTAAGAGTCTCAGAGCTTTAAGTATTGACAGATTTCATCAAGGCTGAGAAGATCTCTCTTACTCATCTGTAAAAGAAGATGAAAGCATAAGTCTCTGAGATAAAAAAACATCTCAGAATAACTGATCTTAAGAAGAAATCAGCTGATACTGCTGTTGAAAGCACTGTGAAGATTAATCACTGATTAAAGAGAATCTCACTTCAATTAAAGCAGATGACTAAGATACTTTATAAGTTAATAAGTTAATATTTCATGTATTTCTTCTGCTCTTCTGCAGTGCTGCAGTACTAACTTCTCAACAGATAAAGATATCAGTATCAGAGACTTTAACAGTGAAGAATGAGTTTGATGAGAATGTGATTATTAATGAGTAGACTCTGAGATTCTCTCTTTTTACTTTTTCAGTAAGCTGCAGTCTCATTAGATTAACAGCAGTCTGTGAGTTAATTAATATTAATCTTTTTATTAATTTTAAATATCTCTTTCTTTTCTTATTAACTGCTTCAGAAATTTTACACTTGTATAGTCACATTAAACTTCTAAAAAATTCTTTGAGAGAAAATAGAAGAAGAGTGTTACAGAGTCTATAAGATATCAGCTTATCACTGTGAGATTATCTCTAAAAAACTCTTTGAAAAAAATAAGAAGTCTTAAGTAATATTTCTTACTTAATATCTCTGACATGTAATAGAGCAGTCTCTACTAACTGTCTCATAGATTGCAATCTCTTTCTCAGCATTTTTCAAATACTCAAGCAGTTCTCATGAATTCTCTGATAATAAATAATCTTCTCATTTAACAAGATATTGAAGCTTACTGTAATATGTTCACTTATTCAATATTTTCTTCATAAGATATTCAGTATCACTCTCAATCTCAATACTATCTGACTGAGACAGCTCTGCTCTGAAACATTGCTTATAGAGCTTTAAATAGAAAATATGAAAAACAGAATGAATTGATTTCAATTCTGTGAGTAATTTCAACTTATATATCTGCTTACTTATCACTCTTATTACTGAGAAAGATTCTAGTCATCACTCACTGAGCTTCTTATATAATCTCATTGTCTTGATATTCTTTGCTGAAAGTAGTACTTGATTCTCTATCAAGAACTTCATCAGAAGATGTTTTTAATTATAGTATTTTATCTACTGCTTCTGAGCATAATGAATGCTTTTCACTGTCTTCTCATGAATTTTGTTCAAAAGTTTCAATCTTACTTTTATTTCTGACACTGAGAAATACTTCATTCTCTGTATCTGTCTGACATTCTGACTGTCTATTCTCTTCTTTGAAATGTTGTTTATGATGTCACTGAGTAATAAAGAATTATATTTATAATAAGTATAGAAAGAAGATATCTTTAAGATTGCATTCTTTGCATTGTTATATATGAATTTGATAGTTAGAAGATGTTTGAGTCAATCATTCTGATAATATGAATAGAATACTTAAAGATGCTGTTCTAGTGTCTGATTCTGATATTCAGTCTAGTCATCAGTCTGCAAATGAAATGCAGTACTGAGAAGATATCTTATTATAAGATGATAGTAAAAAGCTGATCAGTATTTACTAGTGAAGAGAAATTCTCAATCTGTTATTAACAATTTCAGAGCACTGTGATCATGAATGATAATATCTAAAAACAGATCAGTCAATTCAGAGGCTTTAATCTTTTTATGAGTAGAAATATATCTGATTATCTTTGTGAAGCAGTCAATAATGACTAAAATCAAGTCATATTCTTTGACTCTTGTTGACTTCAGCAGATCAACTATGAAATTCATTAATAGATTCTATCATAGACTCTTTGAAACAGGCAGTGATATCAACTCACTGTATTACTTATATCACAGAATCTTTATTCTTTGATAGATATTATAAGTCTCAATATACTCTTTGATATCTGTTCAGAGCTTGTCTTAAGTATATTTATATTTTAGAAGCTTCTCAGTCTTCTCTAATCTGAAGTGCTCTGTATGAGAATCATTATAATGAATTCTTAATAACTTCTGATACACTGTTCTACTATGAGAGACAAAGACTGAATTATTCAGCAGTAGAAGTTCACATTCTCCTAGTTATCAGTGACTTGATTTCTTAGTGATATCACTCTGCTCAGAGTCTGTCTCTTTCAAGTTCAAACTAAATTCTTTCTTCTTTAACTTTTGAATTCAAGCTGCAGTAGAGATATCTCTCTTCTATAACTTATCAATGAATTTCAAAAGTAGTCAGATTGAAAGATTGTAGACTGTTTCATTCTTTATCAATTCAATAATTGTAAGATATAATATGAGAAGCTTATAATCTTCAGTGTCAGTCTCTCACAGAGATCTGAATTCTCTTTCATCTTCTATACTGAGTCACACAGCTGCCTCTTCAGCACTGTTCTCAAGCTTTAGAGAATCTCAATTCCCTGCAGCCAGCTTCTTCTGCAGTGATAACAGAGATTCTTTTATAGAATTCTTCTCTGTATCAATGATATTATAATCAGGCTGTTTAGACAGTGTGTTGACAGAATTAAGCTGATCTGAACAGTATCAGATATAGAAATCATACTCTGAAAGCAGCTTCACTCACCTGGCTTGACATTCTGTCAAGCTCTTTGTTATCAAGAAGTAACACAGATTTATATAATCAGTGAGAACTTACACTGAGTACTTACTACTCTGAAGATAATATTATCAGATCTTAAAGAATTCATCAATTGCTAACATCTTCTAATCATGAGTATTATACCTTCTCTGTATGAGTGATAACTTCTTGAAGAAGAAGATCACTGATCTTCATTCACAGTGTCTTATAAGCTCTGTAAAAAAGTCTTCTTTCACAGACAATTCATTATCTATTTTCTCAGAAGTAATTATTCTCTAATTCTTTTAATATTAAAAGATCTTCAATGTTAACTGTGAAAAGATTTCACAGATCTTATTTTCAGATGCATCAGTCTCACACTGACTGAGTAAGTCAGAGTTAAAATGATTCAGTATCATAATATCTGTGAAAGCTTGTTTCAATTCTGCAAATACCTGTGCAGTGTCTTGAGTGAGAATAAACAGTTCTGTTTTTCTATCTTTCACACTTCTCTTCAACAGATTTATAAGAAGAACAGTAATCTGTGAATATACATAGATGAATTATCTGTAGAAATTCACAAATTCTAGAAACATCTGCATCTTGCAGTACATCTGCAGTGCTGATCAGTTCTCAATGATGAAGACTCAGCTTCTGTTCATTGAAATGTCATTTATCTCAATAATATAATCTAAGAAATCAATCTTCTGCATGTAGAATGAGCATTTTTCAGTGTTTATATAGAGTTGATGCTGTCTCAAGCAACTTAATACTTCTTAAATATGAGTATCATGTTCTTTCTCTGATTTCAAGAAGATTAAAATATCATTCAGATATACTATGCAGAAGATGTCAATAAGACTCTGTAGTGTCTCATTTATATAGATCTGAAAGATGACTGAAGTGTTACAAAGATCAAAAGATAAAACAAGATATTCAAAATTGCTGTACTTGATATGAAAAGCTGTTTTTCAAACATTGTCTTTATTAACTCTGATTCTATGATAGACATTCTGTATATCAATCTTCAAGAACATCTTTACTTCAGATAATCAATTGATTATCTTATTAATTAATAATAATGAATAGTGATTCTTAATCATCATCTTATTGAGACCTTTATAGTCTATACATAGATGTAGTCTATCATTCTTCTTGAGCACAAAGAGTATAGACATCTCTACTGAACTCTTTGATGAATATATTCAGTTCTTTGATTATACTTCTTCAAGATATTTGTGCAGAACATTCAACTTCTTTACAGACAAGTTGTAAAGAGGTCTGTACAGCACTGTTGCACTGTCTTTAAGACAAATCTTATATCATATCTTAATATCAGAAAACTTTGCTGCTTTCCTTTTTAAAAAGACATTCTTAAAATCTGTAAAGAGATGTTGTATACATCTGTCTTCAATGACAGATACTGCTGCTAATCTTGTAGTGAGAATGATGACTTCTTCATCTGTTCTCAAGTCTCAATCACCTGCTATGCAGTATATTGACTCAATCTTTTTCTCAAGATTCTTTCAATGAAACTCTTCAGATTTCTCTATTACTGTCTCTTCATCAGTGAGATGATACTGTCACATCTGAGTGACTCAGTCAATGAGAGAATTGTTTTCTCTCAATCATGAGAGATCTAGAATGATGTTCTCATCTATAATGTTAACTGTATGAAGAAGCAGACTGCTCTTCTTGAAGATTTCTTCTAAGTCTGTGATCACACACTTCACTTAAATTATGTTAAAATAGTGATATTTTATTTTATCAGTAAATTTCACATGATCTGATGTATCTATCTTCTTTCAATTCTTTATCAAAGAAAAGAAATAGAATATGAAGTTGATATTCATCTTAAAGTCAAGTAGACATCTCACTGATATCTTCTCATTCAGAGTATGTATTGTGATTGTAACATGAACTCAAAGATATGAGAATTATCAATTCTTCATTTCTTTCTCTTCATTATCTTTCACAGATATATTTGTCAGAAGAGAAGTTGACTTTAAGAAGATATTTTCTCAGTTTCTTCTCTTCTTCAGCTTC